GTCTGTGTTCTGTAGTAGCATGTTTCCTTTACATACATTTTTCGTGATTTTTTATCCGTGTGTAAGTTGGTGTTCATTAATGCTAAGGTTGGGGTAATACAGTGCTTCCTTATATTCCGGTTCGGTCAAGGTGTTTCTTGTGTCTCGTTATGTTTGAGGATTCCATTATTTAAATGCTGGATGTCATTTTTAGCTGATTTTATTCATCGTAAGACAAGGTTTTTACTAAATGTAGTAAGGTTATTTTCCTTGTTGGCTGCCGGTTCGTTTAATTTGATAATTGTGTATTTAAGCAGCAGCCCTTCATTTATGCATGTTTATACTTGTTTGAACACAAGAAAAATTAAATAAAAAGGTTAATCCTAGTACATTGTCTATCGTCTTTAATAAAGATGTATAAATGAAGGATTGCTGCCTAAATACACAATATATATATATATATATATATATATATATATATATATATATATATATATATATACTTAGTTGTAATGATGTGAGTTCCAGACCCTGAGTTTAACACACTTGCGATCGTCAGACAAACCGCGCATGTATAATATATAAATATGTAACAGTTAATATGCAGTTAATCGAGTGTAATATTTTCTAAAAAAATCTTTTGTGATGATATACTGTTTTATATTAATTCTTATTTTAACTGTGTATTTTCTTTCAGAACCCCTTCGTAAATATATACTTATACTGCTATGCCTCCATGTGCCTCGAGTTGGGATAGTGATTTGTGTAGAATTTCAATTTAGGTCTTCTTTGGAAAGAAGTTAAGTTTAGGTTGGAGATGGCAATTTGTCCTTTGATTTAGGATTTTGTTTTTGGTCATTTGTTAATTCATGACTAGATAGATTTATATATTTGTCGTTTCTGTTGGGTAGTAGAATGTTTCCTTTACATACCTTTTTTGTGATTTTTTTTATCCGTGTGTAAGTTGGTGTTCATTAATGCTAAAGTTGGGGTAATACAATGCCTCCATATAGTCCGGTTCGGTCAAGGCGTTTTTAGTGTCTCGTTATGTTTGTGGATTTCAATATTTAAATGCTGGATGTCATTTTTAGCTGATTTTATTTGTCGTAATGTAAGTTTTTTTTTTTTTTTCGCTGAATGTAGTAATGTTATTTTACTTTTTGGCTACCGGGTCGTGTAATTAGTTTGTTTGTTTGTTTGGGTTTTATGGCATATCAACCATTGTGGGTTATTTAATGCCAAATCCAGTTTATATATATATATATGACAAATATATGAATTTTAAATGCCTATTTTTTATGGAAAATTTTTAGCAAGCTAGAGCTTATTTGCTTTCACACTGCAAAATAATCCTAGGTATTTTTTGTTTCAGTCAAGAATTTCCATTTGATTGTTGATTGTTGATTGTTTTGTTTAACGGCATCTCAACCTTAGTGGCCGAAAATGATTTTGAGTGACTTTAAAAGTGAAAAACGTATAGCTGGCAACATTATGGTTTCAAAAACGTACAGCTGGCAACATTATTGTTTCAAAAACGTCCAGCTGGCAACATTATGGTTTCAAAAACGGATAGCTGGCAACATTATTGTTTCAAAAACGTATAGTGGGCAACATTATTTTTTCCAAAAAAAATTATAGCTGACAACATTATTGTTTCAAAAACGGATAGCTGGCAACATTATGGTTTTAAAAAAAAAAAAACGTATTGCTGGCAACATTATTCTTTCAAAAAAGTATAGCTAGCAACATTATTGTTTCAAAAACGCATACCTGGCAACATTATGGTTCCAAAAACGGATAACTGGCAAAATTATTGTTTCAAAAACGTATAGCTGGCAACATTATTTTTCCGAAAACATTATCTGAGGCCTTGCTGTTGGATGTAGTTTATCGCCATACCCAGGACGCGGATGTAGTTTATCGTCATACCCAGGACGCGTGTAATTAGATAATTGTGTCACAAAAAAGCTATGTAAAGGAAACATTCTACTAACCAACAGAGACGACAAATATATAAACCCATCTTTTATTTATACATATCTATACTTGCTTGAACAGAAGAAAAATTAAATAAAAAATCTAATCGCGGTAACTTGTTAGTCGTCTTTATAAAAGAAGGATTGCTTCCTAAATACACAAGAATTTCCTTCTTTTTTGAACATATATATATATATATATATATATATATATATATATATATATATATATGAAGAAAATTTGGAAAAAAACAAACAAAAAATCCGTAAATGCAATTATGTTGTTTAAAATGAATGAAATGTCGACGTCTGACGTTTCGGTTTAATAAACCTTCTTCAGGACAATATTCATTAAAATACAATTCAGTTCAATTTGACAAAGACGATGGACATAAAAAACAAGTCTTATCCAAAACAGATAACTGAAAATTTTTAAAATGATCAGCTTTCCGTTTAGCATGGTCACGTTGTCGTCACATGGGCGACGCTTTCAAAACGTATTCCTAAAAAATTTTTTTTTTTTTTTTTTTTTTAAATTTTTGATTATTTTGAATGAAAAAGAAAATGAAAAGAATTCTATTAGGATCTAAAATTTTTATGTGTATGCTTGCTGGTTTCTTTAATATTTCCCCTTTTTTAGCGAGATTAATGCTCGACAAGCATACACATAAAAATTTTAGATCCTAATAGAATTCTTACCCTGACTTGACATCTGTGAATGTAACTTCATACTGATACAAATTATTAACACCTTACACCCCTTTTTATTTAAACAATTGCTCTAGCCGTTACCATAGAAATTTTGATTTCAATAATGAATATGCTAATAAAGCACGTAAATTTCAGAAATAAGTTGTACCAAATAAAATTTCGCTTGAAGATGGAACAGAGCATACTTTAATTCAATTTAATTCAAATAATTATATTGAAGTTTTCGGCTCTTGTTTTGAAACGTGAGACCTCTTATGTAGCGTGTTGGAATCATATTTTTAATTAAATAATTATATTTATGCTCTACTTTTGTATCGAGCACTATTTTTTAAAAATAATAACAAAAATACTAAAGAACTTTGGATTATTTACCTAACGAGTTCTTTCCTATTTTCTATATATTTTTCACACACACACACACACACACACACACATATATATATATATATATATATATATATATAAATTATTCAAATGTTGTTTTTTTGTGTGTGTGTCTATACTTCAGAGATTGTATATAATTATTTACCCTATTTACATTGTTCAAATTGTTAGCCATAATCAAGGATGATTTTATTTTTACATTTAAATGAATGTATAAATTGTTTTATGTAGAGTTATGGGAATGTTTTATTTTCCAAATATTGTCAGCACATTTTTGCCGTGTTCATAATTGATATAATTGAGTGATGGCTTTTTCTTTTTTTATTTATAACTAGCAGCATGGCCCGGCGTTGCCCGTGCTTGATTCCAAAAATCGTACGACTCATACAGCAATCGCTATCACTTGACTTAAAATATGTTTGCCCTTCCTTGTCTTTAAACGAGTGCCCTTTGCCGTGCGTATATTGCTATATGCCTTATGCTAAATATTAAATCTGTTACAAAAAAGAACTAAACAAAATGAACACAAAACGATCAGCTTTAAAAAAGGACTCGTAACTGGAAAAACCGAATGAAAAAAGAATTTTAACAACAAATACTTTTTCACATCCAACCCAGTTCTGCGGAATCAGAATCAACTTTGAGTTTAAGCAAGCGAATGAGCCAATTGTAGTAAAGTGCCATGCATATTTAAATTTTTCACAGTTGTGACGAAAGCAGCTCTCGATTTTTTTTGTATGCTAGTTAATATTCGTGTCAGTCAGTAGTTGGCTCTCACGCTGGCCAATAGAATCTTCCTGCTTATTCGTGGCAGCTATTGGCTCTCACTCTGCTCAGTACAAAATGGCCGCAAGCTACATGAAAACTGCCGTAGAAGTATGAAAAAATCGATTATTTCCACTATCGATAGGAGTTGGGAAATACAAAGTCGGTCTTGGCCTTCCCGCTCACTTGGAGCAAACTTGCATGTAAATTTTGCTGCAAATCCGTCGAAAATTGCGTTACAAACATACATACATATCCTGCCTTTTATAGCGATGTTTCCATGATGGACGTACAAAAGATTTGGATAATTTCTACATAACATATGACCAGAAAATAAAAAAAAAAACACAAGAGTAAAAGAAATAGAAAGATTAAGTGCAGTAGCTTGTCAGTCGCATTTATTAAAAACTTTATAAAATCGTGATTGCTTCCCAAATAATCAATTATACACACACACACACACACACACACACACATATATATATATATATAGTGGTGCTATTTTCCTTGTTGGCTGTCGGGATATATATATATATATATTTGTAAATGAAAGAAGAATATGAAGAGATTTTGAATTGAAATCTTTTGGGACATTCTCCAAGTCAGTTCAGGATTTCATTCAAACGCTTCATTTCTTACTACTTTTATTTATATATATATATATATATATATATATATATATATAAAGAAACTTTTTCTCTTTTCTTTTCCCTGTAATGCTGTTTTGGTAAGGTTATTTCCGGAAATGACATCTAAAATCCAACGAAAAACATTGCATTTATATGAACTTGACACGAATTCTCCTACCAGGAAACTTTTTTCCTGTCTTGCTTCAATGTGTTTATTAATACATTTGTTCGAACTGATTTGCTTACTTTGTCGTTAATGCTGCCTTTCATTCGTTCCAAAATAACTATTGACTATCTTTCCACGTGTTACCTTTCTTCCCGCAGATCTATTGATTGTTTCACTGGAAATGTAAAAAAACATTCCTGGATGATCATTCATTCACAATGAATCAGGTTGAACTATAGCAAAGAGTATGTTGTTGAGCTGTAGTCTCCCAGTCTCTGCTTTTATCTCTCTAGGCATAGATTACCTAACTTCCTGTAGATCCATTAATGATTACGATGGAAATGGAAAAAATTATGAATGGCTTTTGTATAAATATAGGAATTGCTAAACTAAAGCGGACACTGGGGTCTTCAAGTGCACGTCTCTTAGCGGACGTATGCCTATATTCATAGATAGATAGATAGATAGAGAGAGAGAGAGAGAGAGAGAGAGAGAGAGAGAGATCAGATTGGTAGATGGATACATACAT